GAACACACGCAAGCATACATATAAACACAAAAACATACACATAAACAAGGTCTCGACAATTTACGTTTTGTGCAACTATTACAGTACAAAACGCAAAAAAATTAGTCAATCGAATAGAAATATTTCGGTTCATTAAATCGCATACATTCTTGTTCAGTATTACAGCTGGTTTTTGTGTAGAGTGGGAATGAGACAAATATTATTCAAAGAATAGTTTTTAGTTAGCGAATAGTTACCAAAAAGTAGTTACTGAATTTTACATTTTTTGATCATCAACATTTTTTACACAGACAATTTTGACATTCTTTCAGCACATTATACGACGACTATTGTGATGTCTGTAGCCAACACAAAACGAGAACAATGGCCGTATTTCTAATCTCCCTTCGCTTGGATATCATTTCTCTAGTCTTCTGAATACTTGCACAAACAAGCACAGTTAAGAATCTTCCAGAGTTTACCTCATTATCAGATCTGCGTGTGCATGTGTTTTGATGGATGTGAGCATAATCGTATTGGCTAAATTGAGTATATATCAGTGAATACAAGCATTTCTGTGTATGCTTCTTATGAGCCATTTTGAAAGCGAAACAAAGATGGCTTGATTAATCCAGAATGCATCACATCCTTCCCTTCTACATACGTACACACACGGATACAGACACACACGCACCCACACATACTCATATACCTATCTTCATGTATGCAAGGAACTATGAGATGATCTGAAATTTTCATAGTAACCAGCGAAAACGCAACTTATAAATTCAAGAAAATGGGAACAAAAAGGATATAGTGAAAGCGCCAAAAATTAAAAAAGTGCCAAGTGAAGAGATTTATACAAAAAAAAAATAGCTTGCCAGGACTAGCTAGCACACCTAAAAAAGCAAAAATGTGCCTCGAAACTTTTGTAGTAAACGACGAGTCAACCGAACGTCGGGATCGCCGTCAGGCTGGCCACCTGATAATGCAGCACTGACCAAAATGAGTAGTACATACTGCCAACTACGT